CATTTTCTCAAATGTTTTTTTCATCATGCACATACATATATCATTGCTAATCAATTTAATTACTTTTTCACCATATAGCACTCCAAATTCAACACTTACATCATTAAAATTAATATTGTCGCGTGTATCTTTTGAATCGTCAAAGAAGCTGCATACGTTGTCTGCTTCGGCTACAATCAGCGACCATTCTGCTGATGGTGTCAAATTACTGCTGAGTCAGCAAAAAAAATGCTGACGCCAGTAATTTAGAATCCGCATAGAACAACTACTGTCGATGATCTTTTGATATGTTGTAAAGACAAAGATAAAATTAATGGAGTTAAAGCGAGTTTGATGCAAAGATTCTCTATGAAAGATTTAGGTAAAGTTGGGAACTATATCGGAATCGATATAGATTATAGTGAAGATAGAAAAAGAATGACTCTGAGTCAAACAAAGTATATTGGATCATTGGCTGTAAAGTATAACTTGGAAAGTGCTAAATTGTATGATACTCCCATGGACAGTAATTTAAAACTAGAACAAGCTACTGAAATCGATGAAAGGATAGAGTATAGAAATTTAATTGGTGAATTATTATATATCAGCACAGGTACGAGACCAGATATTGCTTATAGTGTTAACTACTTGAGTAGATTTCAAAACAGCTATAACCAGACGCATTTCAAATATGCCTTGAGAATCTTGAAATATTTGTACAAAACAAAAGACCTAAAATTAACTTATTCCGATAAAGATGTAAGAAAAGAGAAACTAGACTGCATGGTTGACTCGGACTATGCAGGCGATAATATCGATCGAAAATCCACAACTGGATTTATAATAAGATTATACGGAAATTTGATTTATTGGAAAACGCGTAAACAAAATATGGTAACTAAATGTTCAACCTTCGCAGAGTATACTGCTATGTCAGAAGCAGTAACAGAAGTTCTATTTTTGAGAAATTTGTTAAATGAATCATTTGATTTAAAGATAGAAAAACCGATAAAAATGTATGAGGATAACGCAGGCGCAGTAGCGATCGCAAAGTTTGGTAATTATACGAAAAACTCGAAGCACATCGAAGTGCAATATCATTACATTAATAAAAATTATGAGAACGGTGTGATTGACATTGAAAAAGCGATTCTAAATGTAATTGGGCAGACATATTAACGAAAAGTCTAGATAGAGCGAAATTTATTAAAAATAGGGAAGCACTGAAATTAATGTGAATTTTTAAGGAGAAAAGACTTACTAAAAGATTAAATGTAAAATCTAGAATGATAGTATTAGTAAGTAAGGATTGAAATAACTACTGTATAATCATATGGAAAAATGAATATTGCTGTATAATGTTGAGAATTCAAGGAGGCGTGTTGTAATGGGTGAATATTTCAACATGGTTAACACCCGTGGCGTCCCTCTATTAGTTCGACGCGTCATATGACGTCCTCAAGAAACAAAGAAAGCGAGAGACATGCGGTCTCCTAGCTAGATGCGCAGTATTCGGTACAGTCGTTGTGCAGGTTTAGAGGAGAGACATAAAAGTAACGTATAAATATACAGGGTGTCCCGTAACGTATTTTCACCCTCTGAGGTGGTGGTAGGTGGGGTGATTCTGAACATCTTTTTCCTTTGCGAAAACGTGGTTTGAAGCTTCCTTTTTGAATTATTAAGCAAAAACACTGACCAATCCGAGCTCGTATAGCGTGCGGGCTCAGGGACGGCAGCGTCGGCTATGAAAGCAGGGCTTGATGTAGATCGCGAACGGACGGCTCGGCACCCCATAGTACAATAAAAAAATTGAACTGGTGGAACATTTTCAGTTGTTGTTTAAAATGAATACGGAATCTAATCTCTTGTCGCCTATCATTATGTAAAAAAGGAAATTCTAAACATTCTAACCAACAAATAAAAATGTTTGAAATGGAATAATTAATAAAAATTTAAAAACAATTTAAATGAAACTTACCCATCCGTTCCTAAATTAACCTGGTATGCTGAAAACAGATAATTCTCACTGGGTCACTGTGTCGATCTTGAACATTCGAGGAGGGATCAAATTATGAAGCACAGCTGATCTCCAGACGAGATCATTGAATCCACTCAACCACACAGTCACTATCACCTTTCACAGAATTTTCTTTCAGGTAAATAAACACTTTCATTCACTGTCACGTTACTATTGCACTGGACACAGATGAAAAACATGTAATATTCCGTACTACTTTGTAACGTTTTCACGACGTTATTCGTCTTCCTTTCCAACTTCAAATGGGCCTGCCAGCTTGAATGTGTGAGGTCTGTTTCGCTCTTTGTCCTTTTCTATCTTCGGTGACTGCAAAGTGTCGACACGAGCCTCTCTCGGTTACTCTTGGTTACTGAGAACAGCAGATTTATGACCACGAACCATGACCTATTTCTGAATGTAGAAAAAGACAAAAAGCGAAACAAACCTCACAACACTCAAGCTGGCAGATCCATTTGAAGTTGGAAAGGAAGACCAATAACGTCGTGAAAACGTTACGAAGTAGTGCGGAATATTACATGTTTTTCATCTGTGTCCAGTGCAATAGTAACGTGACAGTGAATAAAAGTGTTTATTTACCTGAAAGAAAATTCTGTGAAAGGTGATAGTGACTGTGTGGTTGAGTGGGTTCAATGATCTCGTCTGGAGATCAGCTGTGCTTCATAATTTGTTCCCTCCTCGAATGTTCAAGATCGACACAGTGACCCAGTGAGAATTATCTGTTTTCAGCATAGCAGGTTAATTTAGGAACGGATGGGTAAGTTTCATTTAAATTGTTTTTAAATTATTATTAATTATTCCATTTCAAACATTTTTATTTGTTGTTTAGAATTTCCTTTTTTACATTATAACAGGCGACAAGAAATTGGATTCCGTATTCATTTTAAACAACAACTAAAAATGTTTAACCAGTTCAATTTTTTTATTGTGCTATGCCAATGGGTGCCGAGCCGTTCGTTCGCGACCTACGTCAAGCCCCGCTTTCGTACCCGACGCTGCCGTCCATGAGCCCGCGCGCTGTACGCGCTCGGATTGGTCAGTGTTTTTGCTTAATAATTCAAAAAGGAAGCTTCAACCCACTTTTTCGCAAAGGAAAAAATTGTTCAGAATAACCCCACCTACCACCACCTCAGAGGGTGAAAATACGTTACGGGACACCCTGTATATTTTATTAAATATAATACAAATAAATAGCATTATTATAAATCTAAATAAAGTCTACAATTCAATTGCTGCCTAAGCCGTGAACTAATTCAAAACATATAAAATTCCTATTCCAACAAACATAATGTTTATTTTTCCAGCAGCACCGGCCGGTACATCAGCAACTGCAGCCCCCGGCACAAGAGCAGCATGCTGGGTATATCGTAAGTAGTTTCTTTACTTTCCTCCATTGCACGTTATTTCGGCACTTCACTCTTTATATATAATAACATAATGTTTATTTTTCCAGCACCACCAGCCGGCACAACAGCAGCATGCTGGGTATACTGTAAGTCGTTTTGTTACGTTCCTCTTTGCACGTTATTTCTGTTATTCATTGTTCGTATATAATAACATAATATTTATTTTTCCAGACATACATATCAATGGAGTAGCGGCGGTTGGAGCGACAGCGCGTTAGGGAATGCCGCCAGCTGCGGCGGCAGGCCAATCTAAACCGCGGTCGTGGCCAACGCAACCTTACCGGCGGCCTGGGTGGGCCGAGTGCGCAAAACTGCGTTGCGGGCCGCGGTACGGTCTGCGTAGTTTTGTGGTCCAGTGGCTGCATTTGCGGGCGGCACATGTAAAAAGTGGGTACGATGATAATATATGTATAACATCAGATGATGACGAAGATAATACAAAACTATAATTTGTTTGATTTCAGGAACTATTACTACTACTATTATTATTATTATTTTCCTATTATTTTATTATTTTATATTATTATTATTATTTTTGATCATCATCATCATCATCATCATCATTATTATTATTATTATTTTTTATCATCATCATCATCATCATCATCATCATCATCATCATTATTATCATTATTATTATTATTATTCTTTTTATTTGTATTATTATCATTACTAGATAGATAGATGGATAAGTTTATTCCGCACCCCTTTCGGGCTTGCGGGGTGCTTTATGTGTAGCGTTCCCAACCTTACATCTGATTGTTTCTGTTTACTTTTACACATGTAGCTTACATCCTAACCCTGCTTTTCCTTATATTTCTTTCTCCTTTCCTGCTTTTCCTTCGCTGCCCTGTCCTTCTTTTATTCTTTTTTTTTACAAAAACTGTTTAACTCTATCCTAAAAGTCTTGTCTCTCTTAGTCACAGTAAAAAGAAAAACAACGTCGCTCAAAATAAAAAAAACAAAATTAGGTATAAAAATATAAAAATAAAATGGATGATTTAAATACTGATAATACTGATAATACAGCCTCATAGATCATAGTTATAAATCCTCGACATACATATTGCGACTTAGCTCAGGCTGCCTTCCTTCTGCACCCTGTCTCAAACTAAAACTAAAACTAAAACTAGAGTAAAATTGAATACAAAGAACCAAAATAGAGCAGAAAACAAAAACAAATAATACAAAAACAACCAAGCTTGTGTTGCCATGATCTATAAGTGAAAAGCACTCAAAAAGTGAAAGTAATGTCACAAAATATTGGAACTTCGCACTGCTGCTGCTGCTGCTATAGAACTGCACAAAGAACTAGCACCTATACAGAGAGCGTCTGTTCTAACAGGAAGGTGTATCACATGTTTCCGGCTTCTTCTGCTTCCTTTTCTCTTCTATTTCTTTTGCACGCTCTTCCATTTTCCTTCCTCTTCAATCCATTTCCACTCTGTCCCGTCCACCCAGATTCTCCCATTGGTGAATTCTATCTTTCTCCCTTTGCTTTTTTCTTCTCTAGCTTTCTCTTTAATTCTCCATTTCATCTTTCTTTCCTCACATGAGAGATCTTCTTCTACTACGACTCTCTATCTTTCCCATATCTCGTCCTTCTTCCATAGCATCGTGTCCCTGTCCGCTTCATCATCTAGTTCCATCAGGATGAGCTTTCGCCCCCCTTCCCCTACTAGTTCGGTTGTCTTCCTTATTTCTGCCTGTTTTCCCATCTCCATCTGTAGTATAATTTTTGTTTTTCTGGCTCTTTCTTCTATACTGTTACCTCCTACTCCTTTCCATACGAGGCTTCTTTTCCTCCTCTCTCTTCTTTCACTTTCTATTTTTCTTTCCCACCTCTCCCTCCAGTCCTCTTCTTCCCCCTCGTTCTTGCTCGACCCTTCGCCCCTTTCCTTTTCGCCTTTTTCTTCCTCCTTGTTTTTTCGCCTTTTTGTCTTCATTTCCCCCTCTTCTATTTCCGGCTCCTCCGCTTCTTCTTGTTCGTCACCCTTTTCTCCTTTTACTTTATCTCGCTTTTCTCGTCTTTCTTCTTCCTTTACCTTGTTTCGGTTATCTTCCTCTTGTTTGCGCTCGTTGCCTTTTCCCGGATCTTCCTCTTCTGCCCCTTCTTCTTTTCCCGTTCCTTTTCTCTCTCCTTTTGTCTGCTCTTCACTGCCCCTTCTTGTTCTTCCTCTTTTCAGTTCTTTCTTTATCTCCTCCACGTTTTCTCCTATCTTTTTCAATTCTTTCAGGACCTCTTCTCTCCATTTGCTTTCCATTTTCTGCTGTTCTCTCCTTCTTTGTCCGCTTCACACACTCTTTTCTTTTCTCTCCTACTCTTTACTACTCTATAACCCCTTATCTTGCTTTCGTTTTCCTCGGCGTTTTTCTTTGTAAGAGTGGTGCGAGTGCCACTATATTAATATGACTGTCCCTGCGGATTCCAGAACTTTCTATGACAACGAATGTTATTAACAAAAGATGTTGTAAAACAGATCATTCACGATTTAGCCGTTGACTAATAAAGTCTATAATTTTTTCCTTGCCTGAAGTGTATTGCGTTTTCACCAACTGCGGGCAAACCGGAAGGTACGCTACATAGCATTCCAAAGGGAAATAAACCTTTTGACACATTACATGTTGATCATTTAGGACCACTATCAAAATCGAAGTCCGCTAAGAAACGTTTTATATTTTTAGTTGTAGATGGTTTTACGAAGTACATTAAGTTATACGCGACGAAAAGTACTAATACTGTAGAAGTAATTAAATATCTAAAACTATACTTTACAACGTACAGTAAATCTATGCGGATTGTGTCTGATAGAGGAAGTTGTTTCACTTCCCGAGAGTTTGCGGATTTCAGGAAAGAGTGTGATATACAACATACAAAAGTAGCTACTGTGTCGCCACAAGCAAATGGTCAAGCTGAGCGCATTAATCGGTACTGTATTACCGATTATTGCTAAATTAAGTGATGAAAGAAAAGTTCAATGGTATGATGTTCTTGATGACGTAGCATATGCTTGTAATAATACGGTTAATCGATCGACAGGGGAATGTCCTAGTATGTTTTTGTATGGTGTGAAACAGAAAGGAAATGTTAATGATAATTTAAAAAGTTATTTCGAAAGAAATGATTTTGTTGTTGAAACCAGCGATTTGGCGAAAATACGCGACGTTACAGAAAAACGTATTCAGAAAGCTCAGTTTAAAAATCAAAATCAA